CCTCAGGATGCTTCCATATAAATATGACTCATCATGGCTTTGCTGTTCTTGAGAAGAAGATTTTTAAAGATTTTTCCTATATATTTCTATGTAAAACTTTGATCCTCCATTGTAGCCCCGCCCTACCCCCGGGGGTCATGATTTGAACAAACTTGAATCTACACTACCTAAGGATGCTTCCACATGAGTTTCATCTTTCCTGGCCCTATGGTTCTTGAGAAGAAGATTTTTAAATGATGCCATTATTTTTTCAGTAATTCCTAATTATCTCCCCTTGAAAGAGGGCGTGGCCCTTCATTTGAACAAACTTGAATCCCCTTTACCCAAGGATACTTTGTGGCAAGTTTGGTTGAAATTGGCCCAGTGGTTCTTGAGAAGAAGTCGAAAATGTGAAAAGTTTACAGACAGACAGACAGACGGACAGACAGACGGACGCCGGACAAAATGTGATCAGAAAAGCTCACTTGAGCTTTCAGCTCAGGTGAGCTAAAAATGTGAAAACCACGAGGCAGGTTCCTTTCAGTGTAATTTGATGCATAATACAGCTGTTGTAATGCTAATTAGACAATGTGTGCCAATCATGACTCTGATGTTCAGGTTAATCAGAGGTTACAGAGCTCACCTCAACGAATGCTGTCTTTAAGTAAGACAAAGTCCCACACAAAACTAATAATCTAGGAGTGTGCATCCCTAGATGCAACATTTATGCACTTTTGGTCTGATAGGGCTTGCAGTTACTTGGGAATAGACTTATTTGAAAACTTCAAACTTATCCAGAAAATTTAGGTCAAATCCAGCATCCGAAGCAAGTTTTGAGATTATTAGTCCCTTGATGCATCATCCATGCAAGTTTGGTTCAGATAGGCCTTATAGTTACTTGGAAATGAGATCTGCTCCAAAAACTTTAATCTGATTACTCATCCGGAAAATGTAGGTCAGATCCAGCATCTGAAGCAAGTCCAGTAGTGTGAATCCTTAGATGTATCATCCATGCAAGTTTAGTCAAAAGGGCCTATAGTTACTTGGAAATGAGATCTGCTCCAAAAACTTTAACCTGGTTACTCATCTGGAAAATATAGGTCAGATCCAGCATCCGAAGTAGGTCCAGTAGTGTGAATCCTTAGATGTATCATCCATGCAAGTTTGGTCAATATAGGGTTTATAGATACATGGAAATGACATCTGCTCCAAAAACTTTAACCTGGTCACTCATCCGGAAAATATAGGTCAGATTCAGCATCCGAAGATAAAGTCCAGTAGTGTGCATCCTTAAATGTATCATCCATGCAAGTTTGGTCAATATAGGGCTTTTAGTTACTTGGAAATGAGATCTGCTCCAAAAACTTTAACCTGGTCACTCATCCGGAAAATATAGGTCAGATCCAGCATCCGAAGCAAGTCCAGTAGTGTGCATCCTTAGATGTATCATCCATGCAAGTTTGGTCAATACAGGGCTTATAGTTACTTGGAAATGAGACCTGCTCCAAAACTTTAACCTGCTCCAAAAACTTTAACCTGCTCCAAAAACATTAACCTGGTCATTCTTTAGCTAAAATTTCACCATCTGAAACCTTGACTGGTACAATGAAACACACTAGAAGCATCCTTCATGCATCTCTGACTAATATAGGCCATAAAAGTACTTGAAAAGAAAACTGCTCCAAAAACCTTAACCTGGGACGCCGGCACCAACGCTGACGCCGAGGATATTACATAAGCCCCCCCAACTTCGTTGAGGTGAGCTAAAAATGTATACATGTATTTTTATCTTTTGCAATACATAATTAAGTCAATTTGATTCAAGGCATATGCGTGGTTTTCTGCGCAGTGGCATGAAATTTCAAATTAGGTCCGTCATCCCTAAGAGAAAAAAAATGTGAAAACCATGAGGCAGGTTCCTTTCAGTGCAATTTGATGCATAATACAGCTGTTGTAATGCTAATTAGACAATGTGTGCCAATCATGACTCTGATGTTCAGGTTGACTTACTTGTTCAAGTTCCTGTTTGACTCTGATGTTCAGGTTGACTTACTTGTTCAAGTTCCTGCTTGACGTGAAGACTAGTTCCCTCCGGGGTAATCCTTTGAGATAGCTGTGTTAGTAGTTTGACCAGTTCTGGGTACTGCTGAACCTGGGCTGCTGTTATATCTACTGGGAGGGAGCTATTCACTAAAAAAATTGTTAGAAGTCCTTCATTGCTTGTTAATTATGATGATAATGTTATTGTATCTCTTTCACAATTTTTGTTGGATCTGACAAGTGAATAGCAGGCCAATTATTACTACATTTAAAACAGAACTTAACTATGTTCTTTGTGGGTTTTTTGCCTACAATTGGTCTCTCTTTAGTAAAACTCAACATAATTGATAGAATGTTACCATTTATAGAATTTTAACATTTAACACAATCATTACAGATAAAATACTGTAAGTCATTTTAATTCCACGGTGTTAAAATATCACGATTTCTCAAAAAGTACCAATCGCGATGGTTCTAATTTCACGCTGCAAGAAATTAATTTAAATTTTGTATAAGCATTTAAATGTTTCTAAAAACTAATAATACCATTCACGATGGGTTTAATTTCGCAGAAAAATAAATCATGAACATAATGAAATTAAAATCATCGTGATTATTTGCCAATCTACAGTATATGGCGATTGCTGTCCCTGTGATTACAGATTTTCCACGAATAGAAAAAATACAACAGAATAGACCAGGATTTGCACCTTGGCACCCATGACTCTAGATAAGTGCTGTAACAACAACCTTATATGGCATGTGAATATACCTGTCTGGCTGCCACTTTTCCCCCCTACTGATTATCTGATACTTTCACCCTCAAACCCACCTGTCTCTCACATTCCTCCCTCCTTAAATATCTGCCCTTGAAAAGACCAACCCAGGTTCATCCCTGGCAGGTCTTTTGCCTGAAACTTTCAGGGCATGGCAAAGCACCAAAAATAATAAAAAGGAGAAAATGGGACAGGCAAGACGCAAATTGAACCTTGGTGTCTTCGAAAGTGACTCAACTTTACCAGTCCCTAGAAAAATGCACTAAAATATAGTGTCACTGTAGGCGACTTCAATATATACGAGATCACATGAGCAATCAAATAAAAAAAGGCCTTTTTGACACCCAAATCGAATTTCATGGATAAAAGTTTAGTGAACCAGAAGTCTCTGACTAAGGAGATGTCATTGAAGCTGAAAGATCTTGCAAAAAAATACAGATGCAACTGAATTTCTTAATTAATTTACAAGAATAAGACACTAACCCTAATCTCTTGGGTGGTATGCAAGGACTAACCCTTCCCGGTTGGATGCTAGACTAACCCTAATCAAATAGCATGTGATGACTAACCCTTACTTCTCGGATGGATAGGAGACTATAACCCTATTCAGTCAAAAGCTTGTGCAAGGACTAACCCAACTCTCTCAGGTGGGTGCAGGACTAACCCAATTAGTTGAGTAGTGAGCAAGACTAACCCTTATCAGTTGAGTGGTGATAATCTTACATCATAGTGCAATGAGCCTGCAGATCTAACAAAGCTGGGGACTGGTAAAGTAAAATCTACCTGAACAATCTAGTATAGAGGAATATGGCAGTCAGAGGAGTTTGTTTATCAGTGGCCACATAGCTCAGTTGGACGAGCCCCCATCTAGAGTTCAAGGAATTGGGTTGAAATCCTGGTCTGGTACATCTGGTTCTCTCCCTTCCTGTTACATTTGTTGCAATGACCAGAATCTGGAACTGGAAGTGATTGTGAATTACCTGCCAGGAAGAGCATGAGTTGGTGTCTTGCTGACAAACAAATGTAAGAACAGGTCTAGGCTGCCTCCGTTTTTGGAGACTTCTGAGCATTCTAGGTTCTGGTTTTATCCTTCATTTATAACCTTAACCAGAAGTTTTGTATCCCATCTAAAGTCTTATTATGTATCAAGGTAATTTTCGAGGAATAAATAAGTGGTAAACAATAAAGAGGATCGACCAAAGATGTCTGAAATGATTTATTTGACAAGAAAAAAGTGTATCGAAGCGAACAATGTCATTTTAAAGAAAGTAAATGATTGATATATTAACAAAGTACGAGCTTGAAGCAGGGGTGCCTGAAATTGAGTTAGGTACCTTGTGGTAGAAATAAGTAGGGGGTGCTTCATATACGGAACAAGTGCCTGTGCCATCAAGACCTGAGGAAGGGAGGAGTGTGGCATTCAGGCGAGTTCAATTGCCGGTGACACGTACAGGTGCTTGTTTCATACAGAATGCTAGTTAATACTATACCTGTGTTATTGTATACAGTAGTAAACTAGCATTCTGTATGAAACAAGCACCTGTGGCTGGTGCTAGGTAAGATAGCACCTGTATGCGGGTTCAAATCCTGCTCTGGTCCCCTCCCTGTCAGACAAATAACATTGAACAGGCAAGTAGGTAAGGACGCTCCGATCTCAAATTATTTGTGTTTGGATTGACTTTTAATGTAACCAGTCCAATTATTTGTTATTCAACTTCAAACTGATATAAAGCTGAAATCATTATTTGTGTAAACATTTCGAATTTACTCTGAAAATGAAAAATTAAAAAAAAAACCAGCAGAATTTCAACACACCAGTGACCTACAGTACACACACTTTTGCAGAAAACAAGCTTATAAATCGTATCATTATTACATCTTTCTGCAGCCTTTTCAGATAGTCCACTTTGTGTTGACATTTTAAATTTTTCATGACTATTCCGATCCTCAAATTATTCCCGCCATTTTTTATTTAATAACTTGTACGTAGTGCATGTTTCGCTATTATTGAAAATTATAAATTCGAAGATATGGAAATTAAATATAATTCTTAAAATAACAATTTCTTAATCGACCAAGTTAGGTATAATGCACCTGCAAACATACTAAACAGCCATTCAAAATTAAATATTATTTTTCCATGTACAAGTTATTATTCATTTCTTACTCACTTTATTACCTCCGCATTTAAACTCTTCAGCAATGTAAACATTTTTTGACGTGGAGGATTCTCACCGGAGGTTTACGATGGTTAGTACTCTTACGTGTGAAATAGTTGTTGTCGCTCATGCAAGAGATTGTATGTTCGTTTAATACATTGTACATTTACAATCTGATATAAGATTATTTTTCTTTAGTCATTATTTAATTTTTATTTCGAATTCCCTCTGTTTTAAGGTATCGGGTCCGTTCGCCCTATCTACCTGTTCGCATGAGTCCGTTCGCGCAAGGTCCGTTCGCCATAATTCTTATTCGCCCTTTATCCTGTTCGCCACATATCTCGATCGCCCTATCATAAATAATTTATGTCAACATTATCGTTGAATTTTTTAAGACTTTTCTTTTTTTACTTTAAATATCTAATAAGCATATTTCATTTCTTTTTTCCGATTTTAATGTTTATCAAAGACTTAATCGTAAACGTTTATATTGCTGTTAAGATAGTACTTGCCGTAAATTAGGGAACACTTAATTCGTCTTCGTTTGTTTTTTTTAAGGTTCGTATAACATGTATGTTTAGAAAATAATTAATGATGAGATTGACGTTAATTATGTATATAGGTTATTTTAATTGGGATAAGCAGCCTCTGAATTTTTTTCTTTTTGACGAATCTTTTATTCTCAATTTAATATAACGTTAGTTGTATACCATTGCTTATAAATCAACGAGCATAGCATGGATTATTTAACAGATTTTTTTTTTATTTCTCTATCATGTTTATATCTATACTGAATGTTCAAGTAAAATAAATTACACTTTAAACAAACATTCATAAAATCAAAGAAATTACGAAATATTATCCGACTGAACATATTGTGGGCGAACGGACTTTGGGCAAACGAGTTTTAGAGCGAAAGGACTCTGGGCGAACGAGAGATAAGGCGAACGGCGTCAAGGGCGAACGCGTTTTAGGGCGAACGAACATACAACCCTGTTTTAACAAATTAGGATTTGTGTTAACTGAAACGCAAATTAAAAGAGAAGCTTAGTTGATATTGAATTACCGTGCTAATTTTTGTAAAATTTTTTTGTTGTCTTAAAGCAATTATATATGTATATAAATGTATCAAATCGGCTAATATGTTTTACGGTGTGACTGGTTAGAATAATCTAACTGTGTCTCGGGGCAGGCCCTTACCACAGTTAGAATGCCTCCCATATACCCGTAATGTAGCAGAAAATTGCAGAATCGCTCCGAAACAATTTTGGAGAAAATTAATGAAGTTGCATTGAAAATAACAGTCAAATTAATCATAACAAACCTTTTTGAGACTGTAAATACCTTTCATCTAAAAATTTAATCCATGTAATGGAAGAATTCAATACTTTTTCACCAATGGTTTTTACTCGTTTCAAAGGATGTATTCACTATTACAAAAGAATTGACCTATAGGAGAGAACAATTTCCCGGAAAAAGCGACATTTAAAAATCAATCTTTATTTGTTGTTTTCTACTGTATATATGTCTATAAATTTTTCAAATTTGTATTTTATAACTAAAATTTATTATTTACAACTTTACAGTAAACCTCCAAAGTTGGCCAAAACACCATTTTGTCCGTTAAAGCGTTGATTTTTGCATGAATTTTGGCCTAGAAGTCCTTCAGGGCAGGCCTGCCCCTAAATAAAATTGTGATATTTTGATAGGTTGGGATGTAAAGAATAATTTAAGATAGGATTTTTTTAGGGGCACCCCTGTCCTAGGGTCGAAATTCACAAAAAACCTACAAAAAAAATAAGGAAACATGATTTTGACAATCTGCTTCAAATTTATACCAATCAGTCTTATATCCAGAATAGCTCAGTTGATATATGCGCTAGCTATTATAACGTGGGTACTGTCTTTTTAAAGTCGGGGGTTCGAATCCACCTGGTGCCACACTTTTAAAGTTTTAAATTTACGCCTTTTCAAAGACTATTTTAAATTTTTTTTTTATAGGCTTGTTTATTTTCCCTCAATTATCTGTCCTTTATGCATTCCCATTCTTAATATAAGAAGCACTAGAGAGAGATCAAATCGTAACAATCCAATGTACAGTTGTCAGTCAGGCGGAACAAATCTTAGTATATAAGCACACTTTCTCCGAGGACAAGAATAACTCACTCTGTGTTACTCGATACAGGTATTCTTGGCAGCATTGAGTTGCAATGATTTTAAATTGTATATATATTCCTTAGAATTTCATCACATTGCTTTTATCCTGTCTGTGCTACTAGTGCTTGTCTGGGTTACAAGTATGTTACGTATTGCTTGAATTATTTGAGCTTAATATACCGGTATTTAGAATAAAATACATATACTTTTGTTTTCAGTCAATGGTTTTGAAACAGTAGGGCTACATATATCAGTAACTGTACTCCCTTGGATTTCATATAGGCCTATATAATTTGCACACATTAATGGCATGTTTTATTCTATCCAGCGGAAATGTGTTGTAAAATAAATAACCTAGACATAAAGAATAGAATTCCAGAGACAGTAGACATTACCATTATGTACAATGAGAAGTAAAGAAAAATATCAATTATTACATTTGGAGATACTGTAACAAACTCAGAATATCATTGAAAGGGTTCCTTCTGCCTCTACTCACTGAAATAAAGATTTATGAAAAACAAACTGTTACATGTATTCAGCCTAATGTCATAAATCGGAACGGAAATCGACAAGCTTTTTGTAAACGGAAAAACCAATCCTGTCCCTATAGGTCAGATCCCTATTTATACTGAAGTGAACCTTTACATACCATGTTGACATTCGGAACTTTCGGGATTTTTCATAGTAAATGCACTGAGTTAGAGTTATCTCCCGTATTTTCTTTGCTTCATAGACAATACACGGAACGCATTCTATCGTTTAACCGGGTCCATAGGACATTTATCATTTTAACGATAGAACATTCTATCTATAAAATAGTAAGCAGGTCTGGCACAATCTTGATATAGCTATATAGCTTGATTTAATAGCTATATAGCATTTTAAGCTATTCAGCATAGCTTGATTTAGCTATTTTATCACACTTTTTTCTTAAATGTATTATTTTCTCAGCATGCATAAAAAGTCGCGCCTTGGTGCAGTGATAATATTCAACCTTGAACTCTTCTGAAAATAATGCTTGTAAAAATCACTCATCAAATTGCGTCTCCTTAAGAGACTTTGTACTCAAAGTTCTAAAAGTTTTGGGGCTATATAAAGCAATTGGGAGGTCAACATTACTGCTACATTGCGAAAAATTTCAACTCATTACAGCTAGATTTCTTCGAAATTTCAGGTGATCATAACCACTACATTTTATCAATAAGACTATAGCCGATTACAGCCCATTGCTGCTACATATCAAATCAGCCAGCAATGGTACGTAATATAAGTTCTGTTCATTATAATCAGTGATTAGGAAGGCTATCAAGGCCAATGGGACTATGGCGCACTTGTCAACATTTTTAATGGGCCATTTTGAAAATGAATGGGCCATCTATATATTCTGATAGGTCATTTTAAGAAAAAAAACAAAATGACAAACACGTCAAATATGAAAAGAAACGTTTCTTCATTAACCAAATTTTATTTTTCACGTATGCAGCGTAGCATGTTTAAAGGAACCCACAAACAACATAATTTTCTTGTATTTTGGATCAATAATGTCAACATTTCAATTAAATATTGGAAAAAGAGTGAGGTAATGTACCTTTGATGTCCTATGAATAAAGCGCTTCATGTAACAGAGGGCAGTTTTTGCCAGGTTTTAACCAATGAGATTGTTGTATTAAAATGACTGCATTTTTAAAAAACAAAAGTAAAACAAGCAAGAAAAGTAGTACGTATACGCAAAATATTTTCCAACTAACATCGCAAAAATTTTAATGCGCACCTTGGCGCCACCAATGGTTGATTAAATGCGCCAATTTTCACTTCAATGCGACTATGGCCCATGGCCCAAGCCCTTCCCAATCACTGTTATAATTCATATAAGAGATTTCCAGACAGCAGTACATGAAGCACATGGCCTTTAAAGCTCTACCAATTATGTGAAAACTGTGTTTTATCCATGAACAATGCTTGGTTTTTAAGACTTTCTAAAATGTTTTATTAAATGAAATAGATTTTAAATAAAAATTGAAAACAAAAACAATTTGCTCAAAGTCTTACTTTCCCCTCCCCGTGGTGTGCAGAGGAAACAGGTCTTATGTATGTACATGTATATGTTGTACTTTAAATCAATCTGTACATGCATCGAAAGAGGCAGTGTAGCAGTAATGTACTCTTTTAAATGTAGCAGTAATGTAACCTTTTTTGTAGCGGTAATGAGTATGTAGGGGTATTGACAATTTTGAAAATGTAGCAGTAATGATACTCACCCAAGCAATTGATACAGTTATTTCTGCAATGAAATTATAAAGGAAGCCAACTGTGGTCAACAAGATAATTGATTGGTAATAATTCAGTACAATGAGAAGCAATCATACTTATCCAAGTCTCAACGACACAAAGTAGTGTACAGTTACTCAAACAATGGAAATTCATCGTTTGCTTAAAAGTATTCATATGCTCCAATGTTAGAACTATCTTTCATTTGGGTTGCTCTATGGATAGCCCATAGTACATATATATAGATAATCAAATACTTGCAACTTTTTCTCTATTTTTTACCAAAAAAAATTTTTCTGAAAAACTGCATTTAAATAGCGTTATCAAGCTATTTTGAATAGGTTAAGAAAGCTATATAGCTATTTTAAGCTAAATCAAGAGAATAAAGAACATTTAATCTGCTTTTTATATGCAATGTTCTTTAAATCAAGGTGAGTTTCACTCATTTCTTGTTGAACTTTTTGTTGTTACTGCGAGAACGTAGTTTGCGGCGAGATGTAGTAAGAGGTTACTGCAGAAAAAAAATTCATTTGGATGAATGTGCACAGTCCAAATTTTCTCTTCGCCCAGGCATTGTCATTAGAGCTTGCAGTGCAAGAGGGGCTGCGCACCACTCGTTGGGCTCACTATCTATAACTCTAGAGTTTAATGTTTTTGACCTGTTTGTAACCTTATTAATTAAATTGTGTTGGGTTTCTACCACTTTATTTGGGTTTCTCCTTTTTATTTTGGGTTTCTGCCATAATCAGGATTTCCTGAAAATCCTAACACTGATGTATTTTGTATATTGTTTGTTACAAGGGATGAGATATACATACCAATCAAGACATATTTTAGAAAAAAAAAACTTAAATATGATACAGTTACACTGAATTATTTTTGTAGGACTACTCAAAATTTCTTGATGATAATTTTGATGCAAAGGAATGGGTTAATGCAGCCTTTGGATCACAGAAGGACCCAAGTACTGCAAAAGATGTGGGTTTGACTACTGATAAACCATCAGTAATTAGGAATACCATAATGATTTCAATATTAATGGTTTCCATGTGATGTAATATATATCATTTTTTATGAAACTTTTTTATTTAATTGCAGCAATATGCAACTACATTAGTTATGAAACTTCAAATGTTCATTCAGGTATTTATTATTTATTTGTGTATAGAAATTTGTGGAATATATATTGTGAAAGTAGATTTAATCTTTTAGAAATAAATACATTTTATTTTGAATTTCAAAATTATATGAATAATGGAACATGTGGAACAAATCACTGCACTGTTGTGTCTCTGAACTAAAGTTGTATGATATAATGTAGTACTTTGATATTTTACTACAATTATTTAGGAAGTGAACAACATTATAGAAGAAACAAGTCAGCAGGCAGTTCAAAATCTGCCAAGGTGAGTTTAATCTATGAATTGCATTTTACACTTGACCTTGACCTTTGACCTACTTTGCCAAAAATACACTGGGCAGTTTAATTTAACTTATGATTTTTGAATTTTTTATAGGCAGGGTTTTGATAATTAGCATTTATACAGTCATGTTTTTGAGCTCATGATACTGTACGGTACTTCAAAACCGTATGATATTCAGTTACCACACAAACTTATATTTAAATACTATGCAGCCAAATACATTGCAATCAGTATTCCACAATGGATTGTGTAGACTTAAAATTGCAGTAAAGACAGACTGAAAACTCTTTTGGAGGATTGTTGGAAACATAAAATGATAAATAATTATTTCTAAACATTTCAATTTAATTTTCATTTGATGGTTGGGGAACCATATTTTCTTTGATTGTTAGATTCTATTGCAGTCTTGGATGCTTATTTTTTATTTGCATGCAAATGCATGAACTATCATGCTAGTAGTAAATAACTAGTTGACCATTCTTAGATTTATTTACATCTTAAATGAAGCTACAAAGCAGGTGACACATGCGTTCCTTGGAACACTCTAGTTTTTAAACTCATAAATTTGAAACAAGATGTTAATGTTTAAAAAAGGTTACAATTAAAATATGTGTGTTTTTTTTTTAAAGTTTATTGTTTTAGGATGATAAAAAAGACTATTAAAGGTGTGTGTGATATGTTGGTGAGAGTTTAAGGTATAAAGTATATTTTAAGATAAAATAATAAATTTCATTGTCTTTGGAGAATTAAACAAATTACATGGTTTAGGGTGATGAGACAATACATTATGAAATCTAAGGTAAACAAGAATTAGATATAATTGTAAATTTTATGATTTAGGATGACATGAGAGTTTACTCTATGGTTTGGGTGATATAATTATAAAGAGCAAGGGCCACTTAGGGCCGTTTTTGGCCCTGTGAGTTTCTGCAAAATCAAAACTGCTCAGTTTTGGTTGACAATGCAGTATTTATCACTTGGACCCTTGGTGACCATGTATCTATTGAACATGACGTAATTTTCTCCATAGTCAATGCATTATGACCTCATGAAATGCGTCATTTTATGCAATTACATAATGAAAGGTCTGATTCTTAAGATCATAAAACATTTTTTAGCTCACCTCGACGAAGTCGAGATGAGCTTATGCTATACCCCCGGCGTCGGTGTCGGCCTCCCGATTAATGTTTTAGGAGCAAGTCCATTCCCAAGTAACTATAAGCCCTATCTGGACCAAACTTGCATGGATGATGCATCTAGGGATGGACACTACCACACTTGCTTCAGATGCTGGATCTGACCTAGATTTTCCAGATGAGTGACCAGGTTAAAGTTTTTGGAGCAGGTCCATTCCCAAGTAACTATTAACCCTAACTGGACCAAACTTGCATGGATGATGCATCTAGGGATGGACACTACCACACTTGCTTCGGATGCTGGATCTGACCTAGATTTTCCAGATGAGTGACCAGGTTAAAGTTTTTGGAGCAGGTCCATACCCAAGTAACTATTGGCCTTACCTAGACCAAACTTGCATGGATGATGCATCTAGGGATGGACACTACCACACTTGATTTGGATGCTGGATCTGACCTAGATTTTCCAGATGAGTGACCAGGTTAAAGTTTTTTAAGCAGGTCCATTCCCAAGTAACTATTGGCCCTACCTGGACCAAACTTGCATGGATGATGCATCTAGGGATGGACGCTACCACACTTGATTTGGATGCTGGATCTGACCTAGATTTTCCAGATGAGTGACCAGTTTAAAGTTTTTGGAGCAGGTCCAGTCCCAAGTAACTATAAGCTCTACCTTGAACAAACTTGCATGGATGATGCATCTAGGGATAGACACTACCACACTTGCTTCGGATGCTGGATTTGACCTAGATTTTCCAGATGAGTGAATTATAGCCCTATTTTAACCAAATTAGCATGGATGATGTAGCTAGGGATGGTCACTTCCAGACTTGCTTTGGATTCTGAATCTGACCTACATTTTCCAGATGAGTGACCAGGATAATTTTTTTGGAGTAGCTATATAACATTATGGCCTGTTATGATTAAACTTGCATAGATGGTGCATCTAAGGATGAAAACTTCCAGACTTGCTTTGGATGTTGGAACTGACCAAAATTTTCTTGATTAGTAAACAGGATAAACGTTTTTTGAACATGTCTATTTCCAAGTAACTATAAGTCGTACTTAAACCAAACTTGCATGGACATTGATCTTGGGATATACACTAAATAAAAAAAATTTGATGTGAAATTTGCCTTACTTAAAGATAACATAACATATCGAGGTGAGCTTCGTAATCTTTGATTACCTATGTTATATTTTTTGGATCGAGGGCTGTGCTCATATTTTAATTCTGTGCTGAATGTAGTCAAATATGCTTGTTTTCTGCAAAATTCAAGAACATTGCATTTTCACAAAGTCTGTTTTCCAATACATGAATTTTCAACAAAAACAAAAAAAAATTGTTATAGGAAATGAGAGCGCTAAGTCTCTACTTTATTTTGATATATGAAATTGGACAGAGGGTGATAGTCAATTAATCAATACAAGAACAGGGCCATTTTATGCATAAAGTGAACCTAGCTCTTTTGTGATTTAGGGTGATACGAGAACTGGACGCTGTCAGACAGGAAGCTGCTCTACTTCAGGATCAGATGACAATGGTCAAGGAAGATATTCAGAAGGTACAAGATATTTTAAAAAACACACATGCCCATTTGTTACAGTATCATTGTGCTCTTATACGATTAATATTTGGGAATTTTATCCCATAGGTGGAACATGACACATCAAAATCTATGCAGACCCTTTTGAAACTAGATGCAATCAAATCTCGAATGACATCAGCTGCTGAGGCACTTAAGGTTAGTAAAAAAAAAATCTACATCTGTAAAAAGGATATTTACACCAATAAAAAGAAATCTACATTATTAAAAGGAAATCTACATCAATAAAAGGCAATCTACATCAAAATAGTTAGTTGCATGCAATCACTTGATTTTTTAAAAAGGAACATGAACTCAGATTTTTAGGTCACCTGAGTCACTCGGTTGTTCTGGTGATAGGGTGGGCCTCTAATGATTATATACTTTAAAATGCATTAATTCTTTGAAAATCTTCTCTTCTACTGGGTAATAAGCTGATTTCTGACATCTTGAGTATTTGAGGCTCTCCAGGTAAATAACACCAGCACTACCAAGACTACTCCCTTTCCTCAGGTAACCATAAGAAAATTGGGTCTTTAAGGTCCTTGGGCCTCTTGTTCTCTCTTAATTAACTGATCCTTTTTATGCCTTAGACAGAAAAATTTGGGGCATGTCACTTTCGTATTTTTGTCTAACTTTGTCAGAGAATTGAGTCTTGAAGATAAAGTCCCCAAATTTGGCAAGCCTTATGTCCTTTCAAAGTCATACTTAGATGTTCTAAAAAGGTTTAACAAGGTTTTACAAAGGTCTTACATAGATTTGGCAGTAATAAGGGCTTTGTAAAGACATTTTGTTTTCTATGCAGGAGGCTGATAATTGGACGACACTGAGCTCAGACGTGGAGGAGGTGTTCCAGTCCAAGGATATTAAGGCTGTATGACTGTCTATTTATAGGCTGTATGGCTGTCTATTTATAGGCTGTATGACTATCTATTTATAGGCTGTATGACTGTCTATTTATAGCTTATAACATTCCAGAATTATTAGAGATATAAAAAAATGTGTTTACTTTAAAAGAAAACAATCTTCTGAAATTATAAAAAAATATGCAGCAAGAGATAGAAAATTGGTCCAAAATTATAAGTAACTAGTAAATAAAGCAATAGATGTCTGTCATGTACATGTACAATTGTGTAGATAAGGACCATGATGTATCAAAATTTCTATTTCATCCTGCAGATAACATTAAAACTGAAAGGAATGCAGAACAGTTTGGTAAGTTAATATTTAAAAAGGAATTATATTTGCTCTCCTCTGGTACAATTGATGCTGAAGAGTATTCAAGGAAATTAGGATCTATTTTACAGACCTGCCAACCTCCAATAATGAAATGTTGATTCATGACCCAACATTTAGGTGTCCATTGTCGGGTCATAATGTGCAACATCATTTTTTTTACCTCTTTTTATTATAAAAATATGGTTTAAGAGTAAATAATCATTTTCTGACCACTGTTTACATGAGGCATGTCTAATTTGAAGACCCACCACCACCCCTTCGATCCTGACCTCTTTTAATGATTAATTTATTATATGTGGCATTTTCTTTTGATGTGCCATGTTTTTGCTAACTTTTTCTTATGACATTTTGATTGTTCTTCTTGCCCATTTTGTTTTGATGTGCCATCTTTTTGCTAACTTTTTCTTGTGATGTTTTGTTTGTCTTGTTTTATAGGTACTTTTTCTAGTCGTTTTTTCGGGGACCAGACATTATCATATTTTATGTAACTTACAAATATCAGAGCTTGTGAGTCTGATCCCCTTCTTGTGTGTTAAATTGTTTACATTTATACCGTCATTTTAATAAATGATATAATTCATCTCTATAAAAGTGTTTTATTTGATTTATACAAATTTAGCAAAAACTAGCTGTGGTGAGCTTGCCTAGCATTTGAAAAGATAAATAGATTTTATGCTCTATGGGAAATATTTCTGTACAGCTGATGTTGGTTGATACCCCTGATTATGGAGACAGATGTCAACATCTGGAAACCCTAAAGAACAGATTGGAGGCCCTATTAAGTCCCCAGTTAGTGCAGGCCTTCAACACACAGTCCCTGGAGGCTGCACAGATGTACACTCAAATCTTCACTGACATAGATAGACTACCACAACTGTACAAGTACTACACAAGGTGCCACAGGGTAAGTCATCAAAGTACAAAGGGAGGTAACAAGTACTACACAAGGTGTCTCAGGGTAAGTTATCAAAGTACAAAGGGAGGTAACAAGTAGTACACAAAGTTATCAAAGTACAAAGGGAGGTAACAAGTACTACACAAGGTGTCTCAGGGTAAGTTATCAAAGTACAAAGGGAGGTAACAAGTACTACACAAAGTTATCAAAGTACAAAGGGAGGTAACAAGTACTACGCAAGGTGTCTCAGGGTAAGTTATCAAAGTACAAAGGGAGGTAACAAGTACTACACAAGGTGCCACAGGATATGTTATCACTGTACAAAGGGAGGTAACAAGTACTACACAAGGTGCCACAGGATATGTTATCACTGTACAAAGGGAGGTAACAAGTACTACACAAGGTGCCACAGTTTAAGTTATCAAAGTATAAAGGGAGTTAACAAGTACTATACAAGATCCCACAGGGTAAGTTATCAAAGAACAAAGGGAGGTAAAAAGTACTACACAAGGTGTCACAGGGTTAGCAGACCATTGGGGTCTTTGTCTTTAATAAAACTTGAAACTTGAGACAATTTCTGTACAGTAATGAGCAATGAATTCCTCACAAAAATTTTAAATGAGATTTACATCCCCTTGGTTCAATGTTCAGACTTAGGAATGGAGCTAAAATTAAAAGAAACTCCAGATATTAATTATTTTATCTACAAAATTAAGAACCTCATGTTCTTTAGACAGAATTAATATTATCTGTGAATGTAATTTATAAGTTACCATTTATAGCTCCCCCTCAAAGAAGTTGGAGGAGTTTATGTTATACCCTTAGCATTGGTGTCCCAGGTTAAAGTTTTGGGTTCAGTTTCTTACCAAGTATTTCTTTGCCCTTTCTTGATTTTACTTGCATAGATAATGCATCTAGTATGTTTCTATACAAGCCTCCACATTTACTCCACTTTACTTGCATAGATTATGCATCTAGTATGTTTCTGTACAAGCCTCCACATGGCCTCTAAAATTTAGGTGCCAGCTGGCGCCTTGTCAAAAAAACTTAGTTGCTAATGCAAATTTTTAGTCGCCAGGCAATTTTTCTAAGGCACCAACTTTAAAAGTTAATAGAATATAGGGACCCATGGCGTGCCATAAAAATTACCATGTTAATGTTTTTGGAGCAGGTCTTATTCTAAAGTAACTATCAACCGTCCAGGACCAAACTTGCAAGGATGATGCATCTGGGGATGTACACTACCAGATTTGCTTCAGATGCTAGGTCTGACCTACAATTCTTTTGATGAGTGACCACATTAAAGTTTTTAGAACAGGTGCATTTCCAAGTAACTATAATCCCTTTGGTGACTAAACTTTCATGAATGATGCATCTACAGATGCACACTACCAGGCATTGTTCAGATGCTGGATCTGACCTACATTTTCTGGGTCAATGAAAAGTTAAAGTTTTTGGAGCAGGTTTATTCCAATGTAACTATAAGACCTACCTGGAGCAGTCTTAAATGAATGATGCACACTACCAGACTTGTTTTGGATGCTGAATCTGACCTACATTTTCTAGATGAGTGACCAGGTTAAAGTTTCTGGGGCAGGTCTCCTTCTAAAAAAAACTGTAAACCCGTTCTGGACCCAACTTGCAGGGATGCATCCTACCACCCTAGGTTCAAATGCCAGATCTGACCTACATTTTTCAGATGAGTGACCAGGTTAATGTTATGGACCAGGTCTCTCATGCATGTAGGAAATGCACACTACCAGGTATATTTCAGGTGCTGAATCGTACCTACATTTTCTGAATGATTAAACAGAAAAAGTTTTGGAACAAGTCTATTCCCAGGTATTTTAAAATCCTACACAGGCCAAACTTCTATAAATGTTGCACCTAGGAATGCTTACTATCAGACTATTTGTTAAGTGTGAGACTTTGCCTTACTTAAAGATAGCATTAGTTGAGGTGAGCTATATAATCTTTGATTACCTATGTTTTGTTAATGCAGGTGACATTGTTGAGTACATGGAAGGACGTAATGGAAGCAAATGCTGATGAAACTTTGAAAGAATGGCTGACAGAGTATTATGATCAACTCCTGTCAACTTGGCATACACAGGTGAGTTCCTAAGTTTTAGTGTTTCTTTTTTCTTTTCTTTTCTTTTTTTTTGTTATGTTTTTTTTTTGTTTGTTTTTGTTTATCAGATGGATGGATGTTTGTTTGTTTTTTGCATACAATGACTGCTTAACTTTTCAATTTGAATATTAAAATTGTGTGAAATATTCACTTACATTATTTGTCTGACGTTATGAAAATATAGGAATCCCACTGTGACCTACATAAATGAATGAGACTTTTCTATCTTTAAATTTGAAGATTAAGTGGTGTAGACAGGTGTTTCCTGATCCTGTCCCTATAGTGTGTAATCTGATCACAGAGTCGATGAAATCCCTGGATCCACCCCTACATTCCTGTGTTAATCTGTACATACAGCACAGAGATACACTGACTGGACTCACAGAACTCAAGCAGGTTAGAATAAAGCATGGACTCATAGAAGTCAAGCAGGCAAGAATAAAGCCTGTACTCATACAACTTAAGCAGGTATAAGAATAAAATATGGTCTCATTGAACTCAAGCAGGTGGGAATCAATTATGCACTCATTGAACTCAAGCAGGTAAAAATTAAGCATGAGTTCAATGAACTCTAGCAAGTAAGAATAAAAAATGGACTCATTGAACTCAAGAGGTAAGAATAAAGAAAATAGAACATAGACTTCTTGAACTCAACCAGGTAAGAATAAAACATGGTCTCAAAGAACTCAAATAGGTTAGAATAAAGCATGGACTCATAGAACTCAAGTATCATAGAAAATAATTAAAAAACCAAAATACAGCTGTACCATGAAATAGATCTATGAAAACTTCTTGTTCATAATGTAAATCACTCAAAAAAGAAATAAACACAACACCTATATAAAGACTACAATTCAGTAAGCCTGACAAAAAGATATACGGTATATATCCAAGGTTTGATATTTAAAAGTTGTATTCATCATAATATATTATAGTCAGAACTAGAATCTCTTCAGTCTCTGTGTCTCAGGTATTCAACATATCTATGAAAGAGTGAAGCTCAACTGTATTTACAAACCATACAACCAGAGACATAGTGTTACTTTAAAACAAAACATTTCATGTATTCTTGAATGAACCTGTTTTTAGAATTAATGTTGACATGAGTTTTAATATTTTGTAGATTACGGAGAGATTTGCCAGGAGTATTGAGCAAGCTGTGGAAGCCAATATGAAAGGTAATTAAAAATGAACTTTTGATTTTCATGTAATATTATTATTTCTTACTAAAATAAATACATACAAAAAATAATTTTTAAGAAAAGCCTGGATCTTCATTTACTTTTATTCAATATCATGTAATTATGTATTTCATTTGCAGCAGAAGATGTCAGTCATGTGACCAGCTTGGATCATCTGCTACTGGAGTTATATGCCCCTTATCGTCAGTACATCAGCACCTATCAAAGTTTGGAAGAAGAGAAACTTGGAAAAGATTTAGAGTCAATAAAAATGGTGAGAATTTACAGTAACCATGGAGTTATGATACAACTTACAGATACTTTTGTCACTTTCCTTGTTTGACAAATCCTTAATTTTATGAGTGTCTCTGAGTTGCTTTCTGCTGCAGGATCATGAAGAAATTTTTGAGACAGTACAGTTGTTAGCCAGATCAGTCAATAAATTGTTTAGTTTTGCAAAGGAGGTAAGTTTTGCATGAATCAAAGAACATGTTCTTTGCATAATTGTGTATATTGTATGAATGGGTTTTCATTTACTGCTTGTGAATTCAATAGGCTAATGAGAGATGCTTGAATTTGACCAATGGCTGTGGATATTTGTTTATGATGGATGCATTAAAGGTAGGTGTGGTATGAGAACAAAGGCTGAGATTGTAATTTCTACTCATTATTGTTTTTACCTTAGTAAGACATTCTTGCTGGGCATTTCTTTTGTAATTTATTTGGATTCTTCTCTGAGCTATGACATTTTTTTTCCTTGCAGACATTCTTCAGTAATTATTGTAAAGAATTCCGGAGAGTACTGACGAATATTAAGGAGAAATGTCGCACGAGTCGGAGAGCTGGGGAGGAGGAGGATTGGACACACTTCCAGCACACACTTAGAATCATACAGACGTGTGGTAAGGGGGGACACACACTTAGAATCATACAGACATGTGGTAAAGGGGGACACACACTTAGAATCATACATACATGTGGTAAGGGGGGACACATACTTTATATCATATAGACATGTGGTAAGGGGGGACACACACACTTAGAATCATACAGGCATGTGGTAAGGGGAGGACACACACTTAGAATCATAGGCATATGGTAAGGGGGGACACACACTTAGAATCATACAGACATGTGGTAAGGGGAGACACATACTTTATATCATATAGACATGTGGTAAGGGGGGACACACACTTAGAATCATACTGGCATGTGGTAAGGGGAGGACACACACTTAGAACCATACAGACATGTGGTGAATGGGGACACACACTTAGAATCATACAGGCATGTGGTAAGGGGAGGACACACACTAAGAATCATACTGACATGTGGTAAGGGGAGGACACACACTTAGAATCATACAGACATGTGGTAAATGGGGACACACACTTATAATCATTCAGACATGTGGTAAGGGGGTACACAACACTTAGAATCATACAGACATGTGATAAGGGGGGGACACACACACTTAGAATCATTACAGACATGTGGTAAGGGGGAACACACACTTAGAATCATACAGACATATGGTAAGGGCGTACACACACTTAGAATCATACAGACATGTGGTAAGGGGGGTACACACACACTTAGAATCATTACAGACATGTGGTAAGGGGGAACACACACTTAGAATCATACAGACATATGGTAAGGGTTGACACACACTTAGAATCATACAGACATGTGGTAAGGGGGGACACACACTTATAATCATTCAGACATGTGGTAAGGGGGGACACACACACTTAGAATCATACAGACATGTGGTAAGGGGGGACACACACACTTAGAATCATTACAGACATGTGGTAAGGAGGAACACACACTTAGAATCATACAGACATGTGGTAAGGGGGGACACACACTTAGATTCATACACACATGTGGTAAGGGGGGACACACACTTAGAATCATACAGACATGTGGTAAGGGGGGGGGAGACATACGCTTAGAATCATACATGTGGTAAGGGGGACACACACTTAGAATCATACAGACACGTGGTGAGGGGGGGGGGGACACACACTTAGAATTATACAGACATGTGGTAAGGAGGGACACACACTAAAAATCATACAGACATGTGGTAAGGGGGGACACACACTTAGAATCATACAGACATGTGGTAAGGGGGAATACACACTTAGAATCATACAGACATGTGGTAAGGGGAGACATACACTAAAAATCATACAAACATGTGGTAAGGGGGGGGGGGGGACACACACTAAAAATCATACAAACATGTGGTAAGAGGGGACACACACTACAAATCATACAGACATGTGGTAAGGGGGGGGGGGGCACTCACTTAGAATCATCCAGACATGTGGTAAGGGGGGCACACACTCAAAATCATATAGACATGTGGTAAGGGGGGACACACACTTAGATTCATACACACGTACGGTAAGGGGGGACACACACTTGGAATCATACAGGCATGTGGTAAGGAGGGCACACACTTATAATCATTCAGACATGTGGTAAGGGGGACACACAGTTAGAATCATACAGACATGTGGTAAGGGGGGACACGCACTTAGAATCAAACAGACATGTGGTAAAAGGGGGGGCACACACTTAGAATCATACAGACATGTGGTAAGGGGGAACACACACTTAGAATCATACATACATGTGGTAAGGGTTGACACACACTTAGAATCATACAGACATGTGGTAAGGAGGGACACACACTTAGAATTATACAGACATGTGGTAAGGGGGGACACACACTTAGAATTATACAGACATGTGGTAAGGGGGATCACACACTTAGAATCATACAGACATGTGGTAAGGAGGGACACACACTAAAAATCATACAGACATGTTGTAAGGGGGGACACACACTTAGAATCATACAGACATGTGGTAAGGGGGGACACAGACTAAAAATCATACAAACATATGGAAAGGAGGGACAAACACTAAAAATCATACAGACATGTGGTAAGAGGGGACACATTTAGAATCATACAGACATGTGGTAAGGGGGGACACACACACTTAGAATCATACAGACATGTGGTAAGGGGGGACACACACACTTAGAATCATTACAGACATGTGGTAAGGGGGGACACACACTTAGAATCATACAGACATGTGGTAAGGGGGGACACACTTAGAATTATACAGATATGTGGTAAAGGGGACACATACTTAGAATCATACAGACAAGTGGTAAGGGGGACACACACTAAAAATCATAAAGACATGTGGTAAGGGGGTACACACACTTAAAATCATTTAGACATGTGGCAAGGGGGTAGAGTCACTCATATGTCAAATGTAAACAAATTATAGAGATTACTTTTAAAATTGTAAGTGAAAAGTAAAATTTTGGCAGAAACAAAACTATAATTTGTGCTTTATTTGTTACTTTGGTTTGTATTTTCGTCAACAATTTCATGTTTATGACCTACTATTTCTCTTAATTAGGTGATTTAATCATGCATATGGATGAGCTTGATGGAAATATTTTAAGTAGTATGATGCAAACAATAGCCCACTACACAAATCCTAGCTCACCTATCAAGGAGGTAGGAAAGCTCAGGTAAGCATCGGGTTTTATAGTTGTAAGAAATACATGTACTAATATATAATTATACATGTATCTAAAATACTAATATATAATTATACATGTATCTAAAATACTAATATATAATTATACATGTATCTAAAATACTAATATATAATTATACATGTATCTAATATTAGTGTGTTTCTCTACAAGTTGAAGATATACATGTAAAAATTAACATATAGGGGTGATATAATACTCCAGAATGGGTAGTAATTTAGAGTTTCTTCATTGACTCTTTAATATTAGATCAGATCTGAATAGGTAAGAATTTTTCCTAATTTCTGTCTGTCTTATGGTCCCAGTTTACTGACTGTGAACATAAAATTTTTTACCTGTCTGTCTGTCTATCTGTGGATTTAGTTTAATGATATTTAATGATCACATAACTTTGTCATGTCTATGGATAAATATATACTGAAGCCATACATAAATGAGTGTTTAATATTGGTGAAGAAAAATACATTTATTGAATGAAAAGGGTCAGAAATGAAATTTATGTTTTACAAATGCACTGTGTTTCAAATGAAAAAATGCTAAGATGCTTTTTGGGTGAAGAGGGAAGGTATCTGGTTAACTGGTATTGATACAGTTGTTATGATTACAGGAACCAGGGTGGTACCAAAGACTAGTTTTCCACTAGAATTATCTGTACTTGTGTTTGACATGAAATTTATTAAAAGAAACCTCATTATCTCCTGTAATCTCATGTCAGACCATGCCATTTCAACAATGCTTTGGTAAAATATGCCATATACATTGTACATTTATAGAATGCATATATTTTGTCATGGCATGGAAATGTAAAAAATAAGCATGAAATGTTTATACCAGTTTTCTCTCCATACCTCTGTTTATCTGTCCTTATTGCCTTCTGTCATTCTCTCCTTCCAGTCAGTTCAGGATTTTCTTTTATTAAAATCAAATTAAGAAGGATGGTTAAAATTACTTAGACTTACCTGCAGTGTCCGTGAAATTTCAGCTCTAATGTCCAAAAAGATAAACTTGAAAAATTATTGTGATGGAGAAAGTAGCAGAATTTACAGAGTTTAAATGATTCTGTCTCAAGTGTATAACTCGTAATGATGTTATATAATTGTTCTGAAGGTGAATGTTTCCTTTAAAATGATTCAAATTTTGTTTCAGGAAATGTTCAAATATTTTATAAAGATTAGCACACTTGTATTCAGCAGGATGACAGACATAGATTGCTAGCAGAACCAGACTTTTTTGATTGGTTTATCCATATGTCTGTCTGTTCAATTGCCTGTCTGATATTTTTTACATATTTGAATTCCGCTCCAGAACCTTTGTGCTGGTTCCAACTGGTAAAAGGGAATTCATTTTTTTTTATTCAAAAGAAGGCTGATTCCCATATCAGACAGATAAATTAGTCATGACAAAAGTAGAGTTGGGTCATTTGAAATCTTCTTCTCAGAGACAACTGAGTTTAAAAAGGCAAAACATATATGAAAGCTTCCTTGCTTTGTATATTTCCAAGTTTATTGAAATTTTGTTTTGTGGTGATAGAATGTTAGTGAAAGCATTCCTATTAAGTTATAATGGTAAGATTGTTGAAGGAATCCCCTCACCCCCCACCCTCCCCCAACTAGGGTGGAGTTACAATCAGGAGTCAATTTTTTTATTGGAACATTAACTAAAAGATATGTAATAAAAGTAATCTTTCCAAGAATACATGTAGAGCACTATGTCAACACACATGCATATTGAATATATATGAAAAGATATCAATTAAAAAATTCTGCTGAGCAGCAAAGCAAACATGTCTAAATATTTAGGCACAACATGTATTTTGTTCAAGTTACCCCCCCCCCCATCTCAAGGTTCATTGAGTGGGGGGGGGGGGCAGTAAAATTTAAGGATTAAAAGAGGTGTAGATTTTCCTGCAAACTTGACAGCTGTAATTTGTCATATCAGTGTATGTATGCAGTCATTAATACATAAACTGTACATGGATAAATAGCCTTAACTTACTTGGGGGCTTGGAAAGTGGGCGTTATTGTATAAGTCTAAGGTGAACAGTGTATCCCATGGGCCTCTTTTACTGAAAAATGACCCTTTTTTGACCTTTTGACCTGTAACATTTAACTGAAATAAAAGCACATCTGAAATTAAGAATAATGTACACAAATATTTACTGTTTAGTTCAGACACACTTAAGACAAGATATATATAATTATATATTCAATATAATTCTAGATTTTTTGGGAAAGTGTCTGCATTGGAGGCCCATGCATCTTTATTCCTGAATAACCCTCAAGACATTGAGAATCTGGAGGGCTTGGTCACCAAACTGGGTGAAGGTAAGGGTAAATAAGATCACATTCTGATTTTAAACATACACACCCCCCTTTCCGAAAAGGGGGTTAAAAATAGACTTAATTATTTTGGACAGTATCAAACATGCTTCATTCTAAAAGTATATTTGTGCAGTGTGTGTAGTAGTATTACATTTAGAGAGGTTTTTTTCATGTCTTACCCCTAGACATTTTATTTATTGCATGCATATTAAGACACTGCTTTTATATATATATATATTTTAAATGATCTTTACCCAGCAGCTCTAAAAATATCTTCTAAAATGTGATCTCATAAACATAACATTTGAAGGAAAATATACAGACATGCAATATGCAAATTTTACATTAAAAAAAATGGGATTGGTACATAGAATAAGGGTCAGTTGGGTAACCTTAAACAACATTTTTAGCTCACCTCGACGAAGTTGAGATGAGATTATGCTATACCCCCGACGTCGGCGTCGGTGTCGGCTTCGGCGTTAGCGTCGGCGTCCCAGGTTAAAGTTTTAGGAGCAAGTCCCATTCCCAAGTAACTATTAGCCCTACCTGGACCAAACTTGCATGGATGATGCATCTAGGGATGGACACTACCAAACTTGCTTCGGATGCTGGATCTGACCTAGATTTTCCAGATGAGTGACCAGGTTAAAGTTTTAGGAGCAGGTCCATTCCTAAGTAACTATAAGCCCTACCTGGATCAAACTTGCATGGATGATGCATCTAGGGATGGACACTACCACACTTGCTTCGGATGCTGGATCTGACCTAGATTTTCCGGATGAGTGACCAGGTTAAAGTTTTAGGAGCAGGTCCATTCCCAAGTAACTGTAAGCCCTACCTGGACCAAACTTGCATGGATGATGCATCTAGGGATGGACACTACCACACTTGCTTCGGATGCTGGATCTGACCTAGATTTTCCAGATGAGTGACCAGGTTAAACTTTTAGGAGCAGGTCCATTCCCAAGAAACTATAAGCCCTATCTTGACCAAACTTGCATGGATGATGCATCTAAGGATGGACACTACCACATTTGCTTCAGATGCTGGATCTGACCTAGATTTTCCGGATGAGTGACCAGGTTTAGATTTAGGAGTAGTTTCGTTCCCAAGTAACTATAAGCCCTACCTGGACCAAACTTTCATGGATGATGCATCTAGGGATGTACACTAACCAACCTGCTTCGAATGCTGGATCTGACCTAGATTTTCCACATGAGTGAATTTTAGCCATATTTTAACCAAATTAGCATGGATGATGTATCTAAGGATGGACACTTCCAGACTTGCCTTGGATTCTGAATCTGACGTACATTTTCCAGATGAGTGACCAGGGTAATTTTTTTGGAGTAGCTATATAATATTATGGCCTGTTATGATTAAACTTGCATAGATGGTGCATCTAAGGATGAAAACTTCCAGACTTGCTTTGGATGTTGGAACTGACCAAAATTTTCTTGATTACTAAACAGGTCAAAAGTTTTTTGAGCAGGTCTATAATTAAATCAAACTTGCATGGATATTGATCTTGGGATGTACCCTAACTAGAAAAAAATATGTGAAATTTGCCTTACATGTAGATAACATTCGTCGAGGTGAGCTTCGTAATCTTTGATTACCTATGTTTTTCTTAGTCCTAAGTATTTAAATGTCAGGGGTCAAGTTATACAAATACTGTCAAATACTTGTTTATTTAATTTTTATCAAACATGTAAAAGTGAGGTTTATCTATGACTTGTTGTAGGTGATATGCCATCTGTATTGGAGGATACTAAGAAAGAGTTGTGTAAACTGAGTGAAGATGTCCACAAGTTCTCTTTTGACATCGTGTTCGGCACTCTGAGGGGATATCTTGCTGATGTCAGCAATATGGAAGTAAGGCCCCAAAAGAAACAGAAAACAGAAAATTTAATTTTGAATGAAATATTTTGAGGAGGATTTACACTAAGGATAAGCTGATTTATGCTCTGCTTTGTTGTTAGTTCTCTGTATTTAGTGATAACTAATGTATTTCTTCTTTAGATATGGACATCAAAGAGTGCTGGAGGTGCTTTGACCTCTGACCTCCCTACATTTAGCCTCTCTCCACAAGAATATATTACAAAAGTGAGTCAAATTATTTTAGTATCACAAACATAATATCAAGCAACAAATCTTTTAATGGATTCTTAATCTTTCAAAAATGTGTAGGTAGATGAGAATATAGATATTTTTGTGTGATCAAACAGGTGGGGCAGTATTTGATGACCTTACCGCAGCATTTAGAACCTTTCACCATGCAGGACAATCCTTCAGTGTTGGTTGCTTTGAAGCACGGAAAATTGCCTTACACTGATGAAACAGGTTTGTGTTGTGTCCATAATACTTTATATACAGGATAGTTGTTTACCCATTTGTAAGTACATTGTATTGTTTATAAATATCTCCCTAATAATGCAGTTTTGTAAAATGATAAAAGATTGTGGATTTCATGATTTTAAATGACTAGTTAACAGAATTTGTTGAAATCATACATGTTTTAAAACATTTTAAAAGTCTTTTTTCTATTACATTATTGATTTTATAGAGCTCCCAGAACAAGTGGCTGACTTGTGGTTGGAGTCCATAGCCAGAGGAACTATGCACCTGTACAGTGAGCAGATCCTGAAAATCCCAGAGCTATCCAATCATGCTACAAAACAACTCATTACAGATATAGGTACTCAAACTATCCAATCATGCTACAAAACAACTCATTACAGATATAGGTACTCAAACTATCCAATCATGCTACAAAACAACTCATTACAGATATAGGTACTCAAAACTATCCAATTATGCTACAAACCAACTCATTACAGATATAGGTACTCAAAACTATCCAATTATGCTACAAACCAACTCATTACAGATATAGGTACTCAAACTATCCAATCATGCTACAAAACAACTCATTACAGATATAGGTACTCAAACTATCTAATCATGCTACAAAACAACTCATTACAGATATAGGCACTCAAACTATCCAATCATGCTACAAAACAACTCATTACAGATATAGGCACTCAAACTATCTAATCACAGTACAAAACAACTCATTACAGATATAGGTACTCAAACTATCCAATCATGCTACAAAACCAACTCATTACAGACATAGGTACTCAAACTATCCAATCATGCTACAAAACAACTCGTTACAGACATAGGTACTCAAACTATCTAATCATGCTACAAAACCAACTCGTTACAGATATAGGTGCTCAAAACTATCCAATCATGCTACAAACCAACCCATTACAGATATAGGTACTCAAAACTATCTAATCACACTACAAAACAACTCATTACAGACATAGGTACTCAAACTATCCAATCATGCTACAAACAACTCATTAGAGACATAGGTACTCAAAACTATCCAATCACACTACAAAACAACTCATTACAGACATAGGTACTCAAACTATCCAATCATGCTACAAAACAATTCATTACAGACATAGGTACTCAAACTATCCAATCATGCTACAGAACAACTCATTACAGATATAGGTACTCAAACTATCCAATCACACTACAAAACAACTCATTACAGATATAGGTACTCAAAACTATCCAATCATGCTACAAAACAACTCATTACAGATATAGGTACTCAAACTATCCAATCATGCTACAAAACAACTCATTACAGATATAGGTACTCAAACTATCCAATCATGGTACAAAACAACTCATTACAGATATAGGTACTCAAACTATCTAATCATGCTACAAAACAACTCATTACAGATATAGGCACTCAAACTATCTAATCACAGTACAAAACAACTCATTACAGATATAGGTACTCAAACTATCCAATCATGCTACAAAACCAACCCATTACAGATATAGGTACTCAAACTATCCAATCATGCTACAAAACAACTCATTACAGATATAGGTACTCAAACTATCCAATCATGCTACAAAACAACTCATTACAGACATAGGTACTCAAAACTATCCAATCACACTACAAAACAACTCATTACAGACATATGTACTCAAACTATCCAATCATGCTACAAAACAATTCATTACAGACATAGGTACTCAAAACTATCCAATCATGCTACAAAACAACTCATTACAGATATAGGTAATCAAACTATTTAATCTATCACAGTACAAACCAACTCATTACAGATATAGGTACTAAAAACTATCCAATCAGACTACAAAACAACTCATTACAGACATAGGTACTCAAACTATCTAATCATGCTACAAAACAACTCGTTACAGATATAGGTGCTCAAAACTACAAAACAACTCATTACAGACTGGGTACTCAAACTTTCCAATCATGCTACAAAACCAACTCATTACAGACTGGGTACTCAAACTATCCAATCATGCTACAAAACAACTCGTTACAGACATAGGTACTCAAACTATCTAATCATGCTACAAAACAACTCGTTACAGATATAGGTGCTCAAAACTATCCAATCATGCTACAAACCAACCCATTACAGATATAGGTACTCAAACTATCCAATCATGCTACAAAACAACTCATTACAGATATAGGTACTCAAACTATCCAATCATGCTACAAAACAACTCATTACAGACATAGGTACTCAAAACTATCCAATCACACTACAAAACAACTCATTACAGACATAGGTACTCAAACTATCCAATCATGCTACAAAACAATTCATTACAGATATAGGTACTCAAAACTTTCCAATCATGCTACAAAACAACTCATTACAGATATAGGTACTAAAAACTATCCAATGAGACTACAAAACAACTCATTACAGACAAAGGTACTCAAACTATCTAATCATGCTACAAAACAACTCATTACAGACATAGGTTCTCAAAACTATCCAATCATGCTACAAAACAACTCATTACAGATACTCAAACTATCCAATCATGCTACAAACCAACCCATTACAGATATAGGTACTCAAAACTATCCAATCACACTTCAAAACAACTCATTACAGATATAGGTACTCAAACTATCCAATCATGCTACAAAACAACTCATTACAGATATAGGTAATATCCAATCACTACCAAGCAACTTAAACAGACAGGTACTCACTACTATCCAATCTGACACTAAAAAATAACTAATCACTGCCGTAGGTACTCAGAAATATCCAATCACTACAAAACAATTCATACACTGTAACAGACATAGGTATGCAAAACTATCCAATCAATCTACAAAATAACGCATTACTGTTATAGGTACTAAAACCTATCTAATCACACTACAAATATCCTTCACTGACATAGGTATTCAACACTAAATAGTCACAACAAAATCGTTGACATAGGTACTCAAAACTATTTTATTACACTACAAACCAACTCATCACTGACATAGGTACTCAAAACTATCCTATTACATACAAAACAACTCATCACTGACATAGGTACTCAGTTGTCTCCCTTTGCACTCAGTTATCTTCCTTGGATAAACTTGTAAAATGAGGAGACATAGAAATTCGTTTATTTGAAAATTATATTTTGTTGAAAAGATTTTTTAAAAAAATTCAATGAAATAACAATAAAATTTTGCTACATTGAACTTCAATCATAATAATATTACAGATATTATGATAAAAATAAATACAATATTTTAAATGATTCTGTGTCAATTAAGGAATGTTTTTAAGTTTTGTGTGAGTTATTGGTGTGTAAATCACACAGACTTGTCACGTAGGCATATTTATTTATTTATTTATTTACTCAGTCTTTATGCTTTGGAGACATTGAGGAACATTACCTGTGTAATGCATTGGATGACCTTGGACTTTTTTTAGATTACCTTTGTAATGTATTGGATGACCTTGGACTTTTATTTTTAGATTACCTTTGTAATGTATTGGATGACCTTGGACTTTTTTTAGATTACCTTTGTAATGTATTGGATGACCTTGGACTTTTTTTTAGATTACCTTTGTAATGTATTGGATTACCTTGGAATTTTTTTTTAGATTACCTTTGTTATGTTTTGGATGACCTTGGACTTTTATTTTTAGATTACCTATGTAATGTATTGGATGACCTCGGTCTTTATGCATCGGAGACATTGAGGAACATTGACACCCTTTTAAAGGCCCCACAAGAGGAGTATTTAGACACAGCTGAGTCAATGCCACAGCGTCTATCACACTCTATCAGCAGCATGAGGAACATTGAACTTTGACCATTATTTGTACAAAGTGGAATCTCTTACATAGTAAACATATTTATTATATGTTATTCTTGTGGGTTCTTTTTTTAAATTTGATTGAAAGCATGTTGTTCTCTTGTAGTGTATAATGGATGATTTATATATATATATATATATATATATATATATATATATATATATATATATATATATATATATATATATATATATATATATATATATATATATATATTTATTTATTTATTTATTTATTTATTTATTTATTTATTTGAAATAATAAGTAAAAACTATTTTTGATAAATCTTATTAAAAACATGATTGGTGTATAGAAGATGACTTTCTGAACATATTCTCTTCAATTTTAACAAACAAGATCTTACACAGTGTGTGAGCATGTTGGCAGTTCAAGGTCTAATAAATTACTAGACTAGTATTTACTGTATATACTCGCCCATAAGTCTTTTTTTTTGGGGGGGGGGGGGGTCTCTATCCAAAACTCTACGACTTATAGGCAAGTCCTTAAGAGATTGGTATTTTTCTGATCGGCGAATTGACAGTGTAGTATTTTTTAAATAACTCTGACGATTATTATAGACAAATGTCAGGATACTATACAATTATTCCTGTTTTGAGTCCACGCGATGATTTAGCCACCTGAGGAATACAATATTCGCCGAGCCCGAATTTGACGAAATGGTAGCTGTTTGGTTTGTTAAAAATAAAAGGTTAACTATCGATGTCATCCCAAAATATTATTTGAACACAGGTAAATACATCAGAGTATTAATATGAAATTGATTTGTTGGGGGGGGGGGGGGATTAAACATCGGCGACATTTCTCAAAATATTATTGGAAAAAAAAAGATTTGAAAATTAGAGCATTGATTTAAAGTTCTTAAACGATTCTGGCAAAAAGTTGTACCGACTTATAAGCGGGTCAATGGCAAATCCCTCAAAAATACATGTAACCTGAAAAAATACAACCGACTCATAGGCGGACAGACTTATTGGCGAGTATATACGGTAGTAATGTAGCAAAGAACAAGTGAAATATGGATTAAACAAAAGAGGAAATACTTATCTGCACAGTATTTTTTTCTTTATTAATATACATGTATTAGTTTCAGTGTATTTTCAGATTACGCCGTATAAAACAGAATATTTATAGGCGATTTGTAAGTAAGGGTCTCAAAAACCTTGCCACAATTAGTCGTATTTTCATATGCATGCATTTTACTGCATCTGATTCAATGGCGAAGAAAGTTTAACATAGTAATATATAGGGCAAAAACCTTGTCACGAACAACAGGGCCATGGTTAGTTATATTACATGTAATGTGCAGAAATTCTTAGGTACTACATATTCAAGTTTGTTCAAATCATGGCCCCAGGAGGTAGTTTGGGACCACAACTACAAGGCATCAACATTTTTAATATGGATATAGAGCTGAACTAATCTTTAAATCTGATGATAAACAGCAGGTCCAAGGTGGCTCAGTTGAGCATTGTAGCTCATGAGCCTCAAGTTGAGGATTTTCCTTATGACATACGTACAATGTATTTGGTCTTCAATTCTGTGAGTACAGCCTTGAAAATTCTGGACACACCTGCGACAGTACAACCTTAAAAGATCTGGGAATACCTGTGACATTTACCTGGTTTTTAAACATAGATAAACTGGATAATAATCGAATCTTTGCTCATGCATAAAAGACACAGAAGTTATGTCTAGGCACCTACATGTAGCATCGTTTTTCACAGATGAGAAAGGGGGTGGGGGGTTACTTGACAAAAAAGGAAGGAAATGGAAGTTTCACAAAACTCAGCAATCTTAAATCGTGAGGTGGGGTGGCATCTTGCCTTTGAATGAAAACTTCCGTACAATGTTAAAGCGAACAAGCTAATTCAGAGAATTTGTTTTCCTGCTTTAGGAAAAAAGAAGATGGTGGAAGAAATGGAAAATTTTGCAGATAGAGAAAGAAAAAAGGTCAACCTTCACCTCTCAGCTTTTGGCCTTAAATCCATATAAATTTAAAGTTAAATTTACGTCCTAATTTGCATAAAAATTGGGGTGGGTGGGCGGATTTTATTTTCTTTTACTGTAAACATCTAGATAACATCTTCTTGTACAAAATTTTCACATTGTAAATGCCAATACATTAATAGATTTGATTGCTTATTCTTTAAAATGTGTACAGAAGATTCTTTTTTATACCACGGTATAAAATATTATAAAATTGTAATAATGATTTTATGAGAACGTTTGTACACACCACACATAAGTTAACTGCTTGTATGAAATTGGGCGCGGATCCAAATACTTTGTGCATGAAATATATGGAGATAACGAACAGTATTCAAGCTCAAAAGTCCATTAAACATTACAAAATAGGTGCAGAGCAAACACAGACCTCCAAAACATCAGAGGTGGGATCAGGTGCCATGGAGGAGTGAGCATCCCCTGCCGACCGGTCACACCCGCCGTGTGCTCCTTTATAATATTATATTAATGCTTTATGTGTTATTCACCACTTTTCATTGGCCTTTTTCTAAATATATATTTTTCGTTTGACCAACATATACTTGTGCTTTGTCCGAAAATATCACAGATTTCCACTGTCCTTATACATGACGGTTATGATGTCCAATTTTTCGTTCTTGATACGTTCGATGTTGTCAGAATTTACACAAGGTGTCTAATTTAGCCTTTACTAAACAGTTCTAATAGATTTACAATGTAAAGTCCCCCGACAACCTTTATCATATATGTAATACAAAACAGCGCCCGCGACTTTTAATACAAACGGGGAGTAACTCTAAAACTTTGATCGTGATCGATGCCAAAAGATTTCAAATTGACTTTTGATGAGAAAAAGCTTGACCAACATTTAGAGAAAAAAAATTATAACTCGGGGCGGGACACCTTATAAGGAGCAGACGGGGCCATGGGGAGTTGTGGTATAAAATTTCATTGCAAAAGCTCAGAAGCCTCTTGAGACATCGCCCGGAAACGATGTGTTACACGAAGACAGAAAGTATGAATTTATGATATTGACTGAGCTTTTGATCTCAAAATTAATAAGGGTTTTCATTAGGCCATGTGGAGTTGTGGAGGGGGCGGCCCTTCCCTTTGGTTCTACTCGTACTACGGGCCTGGTGTTTGTATCTTACTTTTGTGTAAATTTTAATTAATTACAAGCTGGACTGCAAACGTACACCTGGTAAAAGAAAAAAAAGAACATAATTACATACGCGGTTTCCATAGTAGGTTCATTGCTTGATGGGGAAATTGTGTACTTCCTATATTGATTGAATTTACTCAGACTGTAAACAACTGAACAACGGCGCTCCATGTTTATCTTCCTCTGTTAATTGAAAATCAATAATGTTTTAGATTGATGTTCACCACTGAAATATTCTTTGTTCAATTCTGTCTCTTTTTTTCCTATCTCACTGTAGTGAAAATGAAGCTTTAAAAAATACTTTTAGATTTTACAAAACGGTAAAACAGGAAGAAGAGAAAAAAAAATCATTTGATTCCCCTTGAACCAATTGATGTAATGCTGAATTCTTTATTACGTACATTTCTCTCTCTCTCTCTCTCTCTATAAAACCTTTAAATTTTTTAATGAAGTGTTCAATGTATAGCTTTTTTGTTGGGAGTAATGTACGTCAGCCCTCATTCATCAAGTACTGCAAAAGTGGAAACTTTGACGACGATATACAAATAATCGTCTTCTTCTTCTTCTTTATCATTTACTTCTTATTTCCCTTTTCCCTGTGTTTAATGAATTTAGATTTAAAACATACTGTAGACAGTAAAAACGTTTAGTTGTCACCTGGAAATACGACTAAACCTGAAAGATGCTTTTGAGAAACTGAAAAAGTTGAGAAAAAGGTTTTGTTTTCAACATGTGTGAAGGAGAAGGTATCCCAAATATTCTCAGAAACAGGAACCCATCGAGGTAGTTTCTATGCAATAAAAATGAATTAGGGACATTTTTTTTAAATTCACATCTAGACTGATTAGAAATCGAAAATCTCTATAACACGGTACCGAGTATCCATTATAGCGTTTGACACAGTGGCAATGGTAAAAGCGACTTTAACCATAAGAGTCTATAAAGTTCGTCAATCAAGTAAGAGAAATATGTCCCAAATCTTGTATAATTATTACTGGGGATCTAGGAGGGTGTGTGTGAATGGATGTTTATACAAAAAACAGATTTAAAGTCAGTCATGTTGCATATCAAACTGCACACTGGATTCAAACGGTCGATTCATTTCCAGAAACTGTTGAGTTGCCTTCAGAATTGTCATATCATGAAGAAATGCTTTATTGTGTAACCTCAGTTGATCAAAATATAATCAATAGGAACATTAGTCCACATCTAAGTATAGTGTTAATTTATAGGCAGTTGTATGATCAATTGATGGGATCAATTCTTCAAATATCTGACGTTATTCTGTCAGCTACACAATAATATTTATCTGCACACAGATACACTTTGTCAACAGCTTCAATGAAATAAGCTTGTGACTGAGATTTTGCGTGGAAAACACTTTGTCGTGCCCCAGAACAGAATGTTCCTGATTAATTTGTTCATCTGAGTGTAATAATATGGTAAAAATATTTTGCACCTCTCTGTTTTATTGTGATACTTTATATATATATATATATATATATATATATATATATATATATATATATATATATATATATATATATATATATATATATATATTTAAGGAATGTTTTTAAGTTTTGTGTGAGTTATTGGTGTGTAAATCACACAGACTTGTCACGTAGGCATATTTCATGAAGCGCGCTAGCGCTTCATGAAAAATATGCCTACGTGCAAGTCTGTGTGATTTACACACCAATAATTCACACTAAGCTTAAAAACATTACTTATATTTACATTTTACAAGTTTAAAAGCACCAATAATATACTTAATATTTGAATTTCTTGCTGCCCTATATCGTTACATTTTTATTAACGTCTCTGTAGCCTCATTGTGACGTCACTTTACCGCGAGTTTCACCGTGTATATTTCTACGCGTGAGTATACACAAAAATGAACTTCAAATCAATTGCACAGTTGGCTTAGTAGAAAAACATAGCAAATGTAAATATATATATATATATCATCCAGGTATGTTTTAGTAGGATGTTTTATGTTTTGCGTGTCCATTATTTTAAATGAAAGAATATTTGATAATTTTCAATTTTCTAGACGACTCTCTCATAGTTATTCTACCTAGTTCAAAATACACTAGATTGTTACATGCACGTAAACAAGAAGTTACGTCGATTGTGCGTTTGCGTCCATACTCATCAAGTAAATTATTCAACTAAAATGCAAAAGAATATCAATCGGATAGTTTGACAAAAACATCGAAATCCCAAGGTGACCATGTATGTCTTCATCATGCAATCAATTGTTTAAAAATATTATTTTGCCTACGCTATTTCCTGACGTCATATTTCTCTGCTTTCCTCCCAATGTCTATAAATAAATAATATATTTATTGAGATAAAGTGTCCGTGAAATATCCAATAATTTTAGAGGTTTATTATAAACTAAAAATTATGAGAGATATATGAAGCCCATATTGACTGAATTTTAAAATGGGAATTTTATTATATTGCCTCTGGGTATTTTTCTGAATGTCAAATTTCTTAATTCAAAACATTTTGCAATACGAAAAATCGATAAAACCAATTTATCTGAAAAAGAGATGAAAGAAGAAAATAAGTTGAAAACTGCTAAAAATGTTTTGATCTATAATAGCGATGATTAAACTGTTCTTGTACTTGATAATTATTTGTATAATGAACATGGCAAAAAGAAACTGTCAACAATTTATAATTATTGTCCTCTTCAGATATTTTTCACACTGTTTTATGCGCTATACATTATGTATCATATGACTCGGTCAAAAATAACCAGGCCTGATATCCCTCCACCCAAAAATATACATCACCTGAAGTAATTCATAAATATTGAATAGAGGATGAAAATCGATCTCTCCACTGTGAACAAAACACTGCAAATCTACTGCACTGTTAATAGAATCACAACTTAGTTGACCCTGATGCGGTGAATATCGATTCAAACACAGAATTCTACAAGACGTTAAGCTTTATGGATAATCAGATTTACATGTTATAGTAGGTTTCAACACCAGAAAGGACAAAGAAAAGCAAGAAAAGACACTCATTTAAGGTATGGTTTTTTCATATCATTTGCATAGGTATTATGATGTTTTTTTTATTTACTTATGGTGGTGATTGTTATTTGTTGATCACTACAATTTTGCTGAATATTTTCAACCAGTGAGATCCAACCTATTTTCAACGATAAAAACCATCCTTAGAAGATTTTCGGCTTTCGTTTTCTCCTAATTTCTCCTACTATTCGTTCCAAAGCAAAGAACTAAAAGTACAGAAAAGCGCTATGCATTGTAGACAGTGAAAGATTTGTTTATAACGTCATAAAATGGCAGTACTGAAATAGAACATCCAGTTGTAAATCCTAATTTTGGTACTTAATACGTTGTATATTTACTTTATCAAAATGGAAGGTAATCGGTCAAAAAAAAAACCCATTTTTTCCATTGCTCCTTTCATGGAAAAAATATAATAATTAGAAACCCAGAAGATCGAGCTCTTGGTATTAATCTCATGTTGATGGATATGAATTTTATGACCATTTCCAATTTTATAGCAAAAAAAAAAAAAAAAAAAAAAAAAAAAAAAAAAAAAGAATTGTAGAAAACATGACAAAATTTTCAACATCCGAAAAGAAACTCCTCTCCTTCCCATCATAAATGTGAAACATTGAAATAAAATATACTTTAACTAATTACAGTGTAAAATGTTATTACATCTGCCATTCCGTCAAATGGCAATGGATCGGAAGTTGATATTTTATTTTATCATTATCCCTAAAAGCACTCATGCTAAGCACATCGCTTAAAAAAGATGGAATAAATTGTGACAATCATAATTATTTAGTACGGGTGGTACTCTTTATTCTGAAAGCTACATACATGTTTTCTACCGTTACATTCACAGTTTTAAATAGTGTTAAGTTGCGTTAGCGCGACGGCGTGTTGCGAAAAGTTGCGTTAGCACGACAAAGTGTCGTAAGGACAATGCGCCCACACATATTTATTATATATTTAATGTTTTATGCAGTTTATTGTGTCTGTTTGAATATAAAAATAAACACAAAAACAAAAAACAAAAAAAACCAAACACCCTAATATTTGCTGTTAAAAAAAGATATTGGGACTACATGTATTCGCTATAAACATCCTGACTAGGAACTGCCCTTACCAACCTACCGGATTTTTTTTTCATGTTTATTGTCAACCTTGGTCTTTTAAACTTACTTGCACTAGAATTACCTAACGAAATGGGTCTACTTTTAGAAGGTATGATCCGCCATTATCGTAAGATGGCACTAAATACAGTCCCGTAGAACGCGGGGGGGGGGGGGAGCCCCCCCCACACTTTTTTCTGGGTATAGTATTTTGCTATAGAATTTTTTTCCTTTAGAGGCTGCGCCCCTTTTTTTATGTTGTAAGGTCGAGCACTGGTAAATTCCCGGATTTAGACCGTAAATTAGCTCCTTTTCCTTTTTTTGCTTGTCAGATAAATATGGGAAGTCCCCCCCCCCTCCCCACACACACACATACACTTTTGGTTACTTTAGTGCTTTAGGTTTTTTTTTTTTTTTGCTTGTCAGATTTTTTTGAGAAGTTGGCCCCCCACTTTTGAAACCGATGCTATAAGCCTGAAATCGGAAGTTAAAATATTCGAGTACGCTCGCGCTTAATTCGCTTAGCGCTTAAGACTTGTTCGAGTAAATTGTGACAAATCATGCACTAGCATAGGGATATTTGCACGGATATTCGTGACAACATTAGGATGAAAATCTTTTTTTTAAAATTGCTCAAATTTTCAATTTAATGAAAAGACAGATAATTGTAAACATTTTAATAAGAAAAAAATATGAAAGAAAAGGCTTGGATTTCTATATTTTAAAACGTAAACGTCTTATATAAGTAACAATGTTCTGAACAGTGAATATGGACTCATGTTGTACTAAGCTAGAACACGCATGGTCGTCAATGTGTCTGGTTAAGCGAATCCCATTAATATTTACAACAATATACTATACTTTTTTACATTGAAAATAAATAAAGACGGAATATTTGTAAAGGTTAACATTTTCATCATTCACTTACAGATAAATATCCAAGGATGTCAACATTTATATCAATCATAAGTTTAAAAAAAAATATACACTCTAAATCTGAAAGAAATAATCTATAACAAGTTTTCTTTATATATATATATATATATATATATATATATATATATATATACATATATTTCTTTAACAATGCTCATAATAACCGTCTTTAAACCATAAATTATCTAACTATCAACAATTTGTCTGCTGCGTGGGTTTGAGATTACTGGGGTCAAGGCCAATTTGCCGGATATATTGATAAAGGTCACTTTTCACCTCGTCTGTCACTCCACTTCTTTCACGTGTGAGAATCCATATCACCTCTAATTAAAAAAAAAGAACTTTTGTCTTATAAAATTACATTTTTATCATGTGTAGAAATTTGTATGAAAGAAAAGCTTAAATGTCAGAGTCTCCCTTGCCTATATTTATAACCGATAATGAGAATATATTTAAGTTTAATCACCATTTTAAAGACACAATACAATATGGTATGTTCTCATGGGACAATACACATTGATCTGCTATTGAAAGGAAAATCGCAAATAAACCGGTTCGTGAAATTAATTAATTTTTTAAACTTTATGATGGAACATCTGACTCAGATCTAGGATATAAATAGACACCTATCCTAGGTGACACCCAGTGTAAAAGGGTGAAAATACAGTTGCACTACTATTGTATGATGCACAGTTTATGTTTAAATGTTAGAACTTCTTACCTGTGCGGGCTTTTCCAAAGAAAATATTATTACAGGAATATACAATTGAATACTGGTCATAGTCGGTCTTCAGTACCCAATACGGACCATTAGAAACTGTAAGGAAGTGATGTATTAACTGTCTCGTGATCATTGCTCGGTTTACTGGAATTATTTTCAAAACTTAAAAAAAAAAAGTTTTACTTACATCTCCCAAAACTGACTCTCAGTTTGGCGGGGTTAGCGGCGGTAGAGTCCACTGATGCCGTCCCTGTCACCGAAGAATTACGCCCTGTACTGAATAAAAGTCAAGATACTTTTTGAGTTATAATTTCACGTCTACATATGCTTATTTATAACTTCTGGAAATAGTTGAATATCTGTTACTGTGCAGTTCTCAGTGATTACATAGGCGTCGGAACCGGGGGGGGGGGGGGGCTAGGGGGGCTTAGCCCTCCCCCCACTTTTTTTGCAAAGATAGACATAATATAAGCATTAAAAATCGGGGCTTGCCTTTTTTTTTGTTGGTTTAGCCCCCCCCCTTTCAATTATAGCCGCCCCTCTTTCAATTTGCTTCCTACGCCTATGGATTACATTGCTGCTTTTATATGTAGAAGACTCGGATTTCGAGATAGGTAAACTTGTAAGAAATGCTAGTAAAAAGTTGAACAACTTACATAAAATTAATGCCGGAGTTGATGACCTGAATGGTACCGTCTGGTTTGGGGGTATACGATGCCGCAGAACACCTCAATAATTCCTCAGCAATGAAGAAATATCGCTCAAACTCGTACCAACTACCGTAATACTGAAAGAAAGATTATAAAATGACGCTCTAAATCTCTCATAAGATTTGTCATTTTTTGGTCCAATGGTTCTTAAGAAAAAGACTTTAAATGATACTACCAAATTTTCACTTTTTATCATCTTGAAAGCGGGTGTGGATCTTCATATGAAAAAAAATCTAAAATCCCTTTCACAACAGGGATGCTTTGTGGCAAGTTTAGTCAAAATCTGCTCAGTGGTTCTGGAGAAGTTGAAAATGCATGTGAAGAAAAGGTTACAGACAACATAAAACACTCGAAAGACGGACGCCGGACTTTTCGATCAGAAAAGCTCATTTGAGCCTTTGGCTCAATTAAGCTATTGTACAAAAAAAGATAATTTTGTGATAATATTTTATGACCTCAGTTGCCTATGTGCTCAATAAGTAACCTTTTTTATATCAGCTTTTGCTTGACCAAGGTGGCAGTTTCTTCAATTTTTATCCTTTATCAAAAACGAATACTTTGGATACTATGTCGATCGAGGTTACAGAATGGCATCCTAGATCACGTCATGTCACTCCCATTTACATGTAGATATAAATATTGCCTACATTTGATTGATAATCCAATATACATGTTATATTCTAATGTATTTAGTCTGATTTTTTTAATTGTTGAAGGATTTCTTTAGGCAATAATAACATGTACTTACTTGATCTACATCGAAGTCACTTTGTACTGGAACATCCGGACAACCTCCCAGTCTAAACACCTGGGCTGAGGCAAACCCCACAATGGAGAAAAGAAAGGAAATAAAGAGGGGTTTCATAATGAAAAACTTTAAACAATCTAAGGTTAGACCGAGGTCTGTGTCTTTATATATATATTGTATATCCTGCGTAGTTTGTCCCACTGGACTGTGAACGGTACGTCACCATGTTTATTTGTTTATCTATTAATCAAATCATACGGTGACAAAAATGAAATATATTTCATACCTAAATAGCAAAAGGGAACTAGATATTGAATTCAAGATTTTGCATAATGCAAACAAATGTGAAATCTGTGCGAAAATTCTATAAAAAGCTATATTAAACTCAAAAGAACAATTAATCCACTAAGAATTGACAGAAAGTCGTTTTTCAAAAACTACAAATTAGACGAAATTAAAAGATGTTAATATTAAAGATTGTGATATAGGAAAAGGTGCAAAACTCGAAGGTTAGCCATTTCCTGAAGCTGACAATTGATATAGAACCTCGAATCTCTGTATACATATATAATCCTTGTTGTTTATAGATACTAGTAGATAAAAGCAGGAAAATTCAAGTGATATATGTGCTGTCAATAAAATTAATCTGCGAAAAGAGATTGATAAATGCAGATAAAAATTTATTTTGCATCGATTGCAGTCACAAATATATTACCATAATGCTGAAATACATGTAGCTTGATTTTTTTTCTTTGTCTTTATCCGAACATAAGCCCTAAGATATTTTTATTTTATTTATTTATTTTTGAGAGGAATACATTTTCTTGTTTTTACAAATGTCCAATTTCTTTTATGCAAAACAAAGAAAACACAAAAAGAAGATATAGCTAAGTTTATGCTAGGGTGTATTCCCCCTCAGCTTGCAACACGCTATGAGAGAAGTGACAACTACGTGTACTGAAAAACCTTAAACTTTCTTCTGAATCGTCACATTCACAATACCCCCTTCCCCTTTTTTATATTTTTACAAAATTGCATCAGTCAATTTACTTAATATGATAATAATTATTGTGCATACTTGTTCATTTATTCACGTGTACTGCCACATGTTTGGTTGTGTGTGTTGTAATAATTAGAACGATACGAGGTTGTAACAGGACGTGGTTGTGATTTTCTCATTTTGTTCACGTCAGGGATGTATAGACCAATAAAAACCCTAGATATTTGTGTAGAGAGGTAAATCTTATATAAACGCCCAACCCAATTTCCCGCCGAGAGTATATATTACACTTGTTATTTTATATTTATATTTTATGTTTATATTTTAATATTTTTTACGTATTTAGAGTTTGTTTGTTTGCTTTTTATTGTTTGTTGTTTTTTATTGTTTGTTGTTTTGCAAGTGAAAATCTGAGTCGGAGACAACCGATACTTTTTATACCAAAAAAAAATTTGTTCAATTAAAAAATAAATTTAATCAACCCTTAATCAGCTGTACTAAGAGGATTCAAGTTCATTTTATTCACCCAAACCAAAATATCGTACATGGATTGGAACATTTATCCTTCGCAAGATACTCTTGTGAAAAATCTTTTAACAATTGAAAAAAAGACACACTCCATAGCAGTAAATAATAAAAATTAATTAATTAATTAATAATAAATTTAAAAAAAGTAGAAGCACTGATTTTTTTTTAACACAAGTGATTTGCACAAAGTTAAGAATAAAAAAAAAGTAAATGGGGTTTTCTAAGCTCAACTTTTCTAATTTATATGACAGATATGTTATATTTACATAGAAAATATGCCACTCAGATGTTGGAGATGAATGCCATTATATCCTAAAATGTCCTAAAAGGCTCAATTTAGTGATATGAGGTGTAAATATAAGAAATATTACTGGGAAAAAAACCCTTAAAGTAGTTTTCAAGTTGATACAACTGCTCAGTATAAAGAATTTTAAGAAACTGTGTAATTTGTGTTTTTACATTCAACGTGCTTTTGAATTACATGAAGCTATTACAAAATCACTTTCTGTCTATGTATTTATTACATTTTCTACAATGAAATACTCTGATTTATTTATTGAATAAAAGTGATATTCTCTCACAGTGTGAAAGGATAGCAAAGTGATATTCTCCGGCTCACAGTGTGAAAGGAAATTAATTTGAAAGTAAGTAAAAAACTATTTATGGCTTGTAACAAGATAGAGATAGCGACTAAACCATCTTGATAGAGACTAAAACTGCCACTTTTTTCCCAAGTATGTTGCAAAAATCCATGTTATTTAAGGAATGTTTTTAAGTTTTGTGTGAGTTATTGGTGTGTAAATCACACAGACTTGTCACGTAGGCATATTTCATGAAGTGCGCTAGCGCTTCATGAAAAATATGCATACGTGCAAGTCTGTGTGATTTACACACCAATAATTCACACTAAACTTAAAAACATTCCTTATATTTACATTTTACAAGTTAAAAAGCACCAGTAATATACTCAACATTTGAATTTCTTGCTGCCCTATATCGTTACATTTTTATTTTCGTCTCTGTAGCCTCATTGTGACGTCACTTTAGCTCGTGTTTCACCGTGTATATTTCTAAGCGTGAGTATACACAAAAATGACTTTCAAATCAATTGCACAGTTGGCTTAGTAGAAAAACACAGCAGATGTAAACATATGTAAATATAATGTTTTCAATCTCAAAACTGCTAAGCTATAATGTCTCAACTGCTAAACCGTGACGTCACAGCCGATGAAACTGTGTTAAGAAAAGACAGAGGCAAAGGGAAAATCAAAGAAAATGTAATAAATAGAAAATTCAATGTTTTGTAGTTGGATATGGAATTTATTTCACTCGTGAGTCAGGATTTTTTGATATTTTCACTTGTGCTTCGCAAAAAATATCAAAAATTCTTGTCCCACTCGTGAAATAAATTCCATATCCACTTACAAAACATTGAATATCTTTTATTTTTGCATGCCCGTAGCAAAGTTTTTAAAGGGGGTAGCAACCTCCAAAAAAATTTAACCCCAAAAAAACCCAAACAAACAAACAAAAACAAAAAACAAACTAAACTGCCTATGTCCTTCCTGACACTGTATTTTGTCAAATTGGAATCACAGAAGTTAATTTCAGATCTCCCTTTGGTAAAATTTCTGGTATTATGAACTACGTCAATTATTGTCGTTGCTTTTAACTGGGAGCAGGAAAGACGATAACATGCCTTGAGCATGGTTCGCAGATTATGACAGAGGTGGGCGTCATAATTTCCTAAAAAAGATTGAGACATTTTATTCTTGCCCCATTTGTATGTCTGCATTTTGATACACTGAACTGACCCATTTATACATAGAGTTGATCATGTTCTAAGAGTGCGTCATGATTTGATTTAAGTTCATATTCCAAGGGTCGGTTATGTGAGTAAAACATGCCTCTTGAACTCTTGAATTATACAGGGATCAAGTAAGTAAAGCTCAAAAATACGTTTCGTATGTGCTGAAGGAACTTGTTTTGAAATGAACTGAAACTGCTAGATGTGTCATTGCTGATTTCCTTAAGGACACGTCTTTGTCTTGAGTCCTATCTTCTGGTACACGAGCAATGACGGAAACAATGCGTCAGCTATACATTTGACTGGTATTATTGAAATCAAAGTTTATTATTGTGTTGCGATGACATAATTGTGTGTCTTGATCTTGACTCAAAGTCATATTTCCAAAGAACAGATCAAGGCATTTCAAAATCGTGTCCCAGCTACAATCTTTCAGCGGGATGAATTCAAATTCCAATATACTGTTGTTTGGAAATCATGCCTGATGCGGTGATTTTTTTTTAAAGGTACCGTTTGGGTCCCTATTCATATGTTGTTCACAGTACGTGCGTCATGCTTTCGTAGGGGCCAAGGTCGGTGTCTTACGACGGCGTATAAAAGACATTTCAATTTTGCAGATAAAAAATCGTTTTTACGATGTTTGAATTCGTTTGAACGATTTAGAAAATCGTTTGTACGTAGTGTGTATTGATGTTACTAATCCCGTTCAGGTAATAATTTTCTAACCGTTGATGAAGATGCTGGAAAATAACACGTGCTACCACGGATATATGAAACTGATAAAACTGTAAAATTGTTCTTCATGACAAAAACATATGAAATCTAGTTTCGTTGCCAAATCCTGACAAGAAATGGTTTTGGTGCCATAATTCTCTCTTGTTACAGAGAGCTGGGTGACTGTAATTCACAACTGTTTTCTATGGATATTCACAAAGTCATTGTCTGATACTAAACAGTGAACCAGTTTGTAAGACCATTCTCTGATACTAAACAGTGAACCAGTTTGTAAGACTATTTTCTGATACTAAACAGTGAACCAGTTTTTAAGACTATTTTCTGATACTAAACAGTGAACCAGTTTGTAAGACTATCAATTCATGATGGGTGGGTGGAGTAAAGCTCTGCTAAATGTTGTGTGATGCGTCTAGTGTGTTGGTGTCTGTATGCTTGTCACCTCTCGCTTTTAGCCCTCACCGCTGGCTAGCAGCAATGCGAAAATTAAAGCAATTTGTAAGTCTTTCCCTACCAGTACATAACCTCTCCACAACAAGTCCCATGAGATGCTCCACGTGGAAGCAGTCGGAAACTGGGTACCTTTCGGCCTCAGGCTAACTTTGCAAGGGCTCACGGCAGGATGAGACTCGAAAGCCTTGGCCGGAAACTCATCTACGTGAGAAAACTCTGATCACAATCCGGCTTTAGTAGGAGACCGTTATCAACCACTATGTCCCCCCAGACATGAATTGGAGGTTGGACTTAAGGCTAATCACCTCCTTCCATAAAAATCAGATGATAACGGAAACCATTACAACAAATAGTACCACTGAAGGAAGGGCAGGCGCGACATGCGAGATTCCAGATGAGGATTATCTTCAATGGGAATTCGAGAGTATGACGGCAATTAGAAAAAGCCAAAAGGACCCGAATGGCCTGAAATGAACGCAAATGTCATCCATAACAACACCTAAAAACATCACCAAGATCGGATGTTGGAGACGTAAGGACAATGTTCCAGACTGGAAAAACAGCTAACATCGTAAGTGAGTTTAACAGAATGATACA